GTCAGGGTTCAAATCCCATTACAGGCAGCATGGAATTTAAATATTTTTTAACTTAATTATGAAAAAGCATCCGTTAAGTGCAAAGCGCTTCACTTAGTATTGGCGTATTTCAATTGAATAATTCTATACTAAATACTAAAATTTATATACCTTAATTTATTACGAGTTGGGTTGGTGCTCTTTCATATGCGATTTTTTTTTTAATTTAGCACGTTTTGCACAAGCAATAGTAAATGATTAATGTAAGTATGTACCTAAATACGTTAAAATGACATGCACAGAGTTTTACAATTACATTAAGCAAAAGCCAGAAGTTTTGAAACGAGTTTACAGCAACGAAACAAATGACTGATATTTTAATGTTACCTTGTATTTAATTTTTTTTTCTTTCGTGAGACCTAGATTACTCATAAGTACCGTGCCGTACAAAATTATTTGCTCGAAGACTCTTTCATCTGATCACAATTTCTAATCAGATCTTTTAGAAAAATTTTGAAAATTTAGCTTTTGAGCCAATTAGTAAAGTGCAAGTCTCAAGTTACCAGAAAATTTCGTTGATTTTTTGCAATTATTTATTTTTTGCTGACAGTGTCTTCCACATACAAAAAAATGTCGAACATAGTTTGTATGGAAGAAACTCTCAGTAAAAACAATACCAAAACTCAACTAAATTTTTATGGGCTGCAAAACTTAATTACAAAATTTTTATAAAAAAGTCTGAATAGAAAGTTGCGAATTTGTATGCAAATTTATTGTATCGAGTTTTGCACAAAGTTTAGAAATTTTATTTTTATGGTTTCTGATGTATTTAGTATAAACTGTATTTTTATAAGGAACAAAAAAGTGCTGTGCTTTAGTTGCGATAAATTATTTTGTTTTGCTGGTCTACATTGTAATGATCTCATGATCTCATGTTTTTATGTTTTTGGTTTTGTTTGTCAAAATAAAATTTTATTACATCCTTTCGTACGTAATTTTTGTCGAAACGAAAGGGAAGGGAGCGAGAGGCCTCTTCCCCCCTTAAGTGTCCTGGTTTGGCAACAGAGATATCTGGCAGCCCTAGTTAATATCAAGAAGCAGACTTTCGGACAAAATAAATTTAAACACAAAGAATTGATTTATGATTGTTTTTTAATATTTATTTGTAATCAAACTACCGTCCAAATTAACTCCAAGAATTGAATGGGAACGATTGTGTTTTACGAAAACCTCTTTTTCGGTTAACAAGTTAAATTAGGCTAATTTGAACGTAATATTAACCAGTTCAAGTCCATTTATCATGTTTAACTCGCCAATTTGAACGTATTTAGTATAAGTTTCCAAAATTTTACTTTGAAATTTTTACATCTGGTGTTGTATGCAAAATTTTTTTTTTTTAATTGATTTCGTTTGTAAAAACGCGGGAACTTTTCTATACAAATCGCGAAGTTTAATATTTTTTACAACGAAATACTACTACAATAAAAACCTAATTTTCATTTCTTATATTCCTTAGAAGCCCATAACTCGACAAATAGCCATTATATTAAAAAAAATTCTGTGAACACTTTCATACCCAAAATATGAACGAATTCCAGAGCATCACATGTTTCTATCCGCTTGACTAGAAACGCCTTCTTTTTCTTCTAATTTGGCACCAAAACCGTTTGTCGGTTTGGGCCGAGACCAAAAAGCTTCTCCAATTGCTTCTCACCTGTGCGAATTTGCGCCAGTTGGTTATCCCGAGCGCAGACAGGTCCTTCTGTACTTGGTCCTTCCATTGCGTCCGGCGCCCTTGCTTTCGTTGGGTGCGGAGTCGAAGGATCTTTTCACCGGAGCGTCGTCATCCATGCGTACAACATGTCCAAGCCAGCGAAATCGCTGTCTTTTTATGCTCTTGACTATGTCCATGTTCGTCATTCCATCTTCTCCGATACCCGTCGTCCACGAAAACAGGGCCGTAGATCTTGCGTAGAATAGTTCTCTCGAAAGCCTTCTCAGCTTTGTTCGGTATCGTCCAAGTTTCTTCGCCATATAAAAGGACCGGCTTGATGAGAGATTTGTAGAGCAAGATTTTCGTTCGTCGAGAGAGGGCTATTCTTTTCAATTGCCTACCGAACCCAAAATAGCACCTGTTGGCAAGAGTTATTCTTCGCTTGATCTCCAGGCTGATGTTGTTGGTGGTGTTTATGCTGGATCCTAGGTAGACAAAGTCCTTCACTACTTCAAAGTTATACTGCCAACAGTGACGTGTGTTCCGAAACGTGTGGACTCTTTATATGTTGCCAGGAGGTAATTTGTCTTGCTCTCGTTCACCACGATACCAACCTCTATAGCTTCCTTTTCTAAACTGGAAAATGCTGCGGTTACGTCCCTTTGTTTCAGACCTACTATATCGATATCGTCTGCATACGCCAGCAAGCCCCGTCCTTTTGCTATATATGGTGCCTCTGCGATTCAGATTGGCAGCTCTAATTACACTTTCCATCATCAGGTTGAAAATGTCGCACGAGAATGAATGGCCTTGTCTAAAACTTCGTTTGGTATCAAACGGCGCGAGAGGTCCTTCCCAATTTGGACGGAGCTGAAGGTTGTGCTCAACATCACTCTACATAGCCGTATTAGTTTTGCGGGGATCCCAAACTTGAACATGGCGTCGTACAGGCAGCTCCTCTTCGTGCTATCAAAAGCAGCTTTAAAATCGACAAAATCTGGTCAATGGTGGACTTACCAGGTCTGAAGCCACACTGATAAGGTCCAATCAGCTGGTTAGTGAACGGCTTCAGTCTTTCATACAATATTGTCGACAGGACCTTGTATGCAATATTAAGAAGGCTTATTCCGCGCTAGTTGGCGCAAACGACAGGATCTCCCTTCTTGTGGATTGGGCAAAGTACACTGAGATTCCAGTCTTCGGGCATGTATTCATCAGATCAAATTCTGCTTAAAAGCTGGTACATACGCCCCACCAACTCTTCACCACCGGTATTAAACAGCTCAGCCAGTATACCGTCGGCTCCGGGGGCCTTGTTGTTCTTTAGCCGCTTTATTGCTGTTCTGGTCTTGGACGAGCTGAGGGACGTGATCTTCGTCCCTATACGTTGCTTCGGGGTCTTCTTCATCAAACGCACCACCTGTGTCGCCATTCAAAAGTATTGAGAAGTATTCCCTCCATATCTCAAGTGTACTCTGGACATCTGTTACCAGATTTCCATCTTCATGTTTTCAGGAGCTAGCCCCGTTCTTAAAACTATTTGATTGCTGCTTTATTTTCTGATAGAATTTTCGAGCCGCATTCCTGTCTGCCAGCATCTCAAGCTCTTCGCAATCACGCCTTTCTGCCTCTCTTTTCCTTTTCTTGAAAAGGCGTCTCTCTTCCCTCCTTTTCTCTCGGCATCGCTCAATTGTCGCGCGTGACGCCATTGGCTGCAGGGTAGCTTTGTATGTTGCGTTTTTTTCTGCGGCACCCGCGCGGAACTCTTCGTCATACCAGTGGTTTCTGCTCGGTTAGTGGTAACCAACAACCTCTTCCGCAGCTGTACGAAGGGATTGGGAGATGGAGTCCCACTGCTCATTTATGTCCAGGCGATGAGGAGCTGCTTGATTAAGCAGGATTGAGAGTCGGTTGCTAAATTTTTCGGCTGTCTATTGTGACTGCAGCTTTGCGATATCGAACTTTCGCCGTGTTGCCTTACGCACGTTTTTTATTGCACAGAGGCGCATGCGGACCTTAGCTGCGACAAGGTAGTGATCCGAGTCGATGTTGGCACCTCGGATAGAGAGAGAGAACGTCAAGAACGTTCGAAGCGTATCTTCCATATATTACAACATGATCAATTTGTTTGTTCTTTTATCAGGGGGCACCCAAGTTGCTTTGTGGATATTTCGATGCTGGTGTCTGGTACTACTGACTACCATGTTCCGTGCCGCGCTGAAGTCGATGAGCCTCCCTCCGTTGTCGTAGGTGTTGTCATGAAGGCTGCATTTTCCGACTGTTGGACCAAATATGCCCTCTTTGCCCACCGTGGCGTTAAAGTCGCTAAGTACGGTTTTAATGTCGTGGCGGGGGCAGCGCTCATACGCTTCTCCTAGAGGATCATAGAAAACCTCCTTAGTCTCATCGTCCTTCTATTCCGTCGGGGCGTGCACACAAATTAGGCTTATGCTATTAAATTTCGCCTTTAAGCGGAGAGTGGCGATTCGCTCACTGATCTGCGTGAACTGGGAGACAAGGTGTCGGAGTGTCCGCCCAACCACAAATCCAACACCAAATTTATGCACCGTCCCTTGGCAGCTATAGTAGACGTCGCATGCAGCAAATTTTTTGCAACCATGCCCCGTCCATCGCATTTCCTGAACTGCGGTGATGTCAGCCTGGTATTTTGTGATGACGTCCAGCAGTTGGCTAGAGGCACCTTCCCTATAGAGGGTGCGGACATTCCAGGTGCATATCCGTAATTCGTAGTCCTTGTTCCGTTTACGGGTGTCGTCAACGTGTGGAGATGGAGTTATCCGAGGCTTTTTTAGTCTTTTCATTGGATATATTGCCACCGTAACTGCATACCCAGCAAAACGACTATACCCCGTTGCACCTGAAACGCCCCTTAGGTCAAAAGTGAGTTCCGCGAAGGAAAATTTTTAGGACACCGGAATGCACATGCATAAATAAACATATTTCTCACATGTTCCTTAAATATATGATTAACATGAGCCAAGGAATAGTTTTTTGCGTTTTACGACAAACGATAGTTTTTGAATTACATATAACACTTTTGAAGAAAGTTTGCGATATGTATTGTATTTTGTTGTTAACTTTAAAAAATAACTTTTGTTAAATTTTTACCCTCCTTCATTTTGTGGTATGCGCCCTTTTGTTATTATGTAATGGACCTACAGTTTTATGCCAACAAGAAGTTTTAGAAACAAAACTTTTATGCTGCCGTGCTAAGGCTTATTTTTTACGCTGCTTTAAAGTTTGTTTGTAATGAACTTATATTAATTGATTTAAATTTGTTCTACAGATATGCACGAATGATGGCGCCTAAATATAGTGATGGTGTTTACTCTCCAACAATCTCAGTCACAGGAACCCCATTACCGAATGCCCGTCTATTATCATTGTCTTTATATGGAGAAGCATCGTTGCCGGATGATTTTCGAACATTGGCGTTTTTGCAGTGGGGTCAATTAGTAGCGCATGATATGACACATTTCGTTAAAGCAAACACTTCAGGTAAAATGCATTTAAATTTGCTTGATAATATCGCTTAGTTTTAATTAAATAGTCGATGAAATTTAAAATATTTTTTTAATCTCATAAGAATTTTAACTAGCCAGCAACCGAATGGTGCTTTCAAGATGTTTTTCTAGAAAGTGCAAGCTTCCCTATATTATATTTTTTCGTGAAACCAAGCCATTATTTTGAAAAAGCTATTGTGTCCGTAAGTCACTTGGACAGGCAAAAGCTTACTTTATGAGTTATTCTATGTGGCCTTCTAAACTAGTTTTAAGTTTAGTAAAATTTTAAGTAACTAAATTACGTAATAAATAAAGCTCATTATTTCAATAGCATACGTAACACGTTCATTGATAAGATGGTGTAACCTTTATTTGGTTCAGTCTGGCCGTTTTATATTTTTTTTGGAGTAGTAAAAAATTATTTTCAACAATTTTATTAAGTTTGGGGCCGTTATTTTAAATGAAAAACGTTGTGGAAAACAACAACAATTTACAAAAGTAGAAGTTATAGTTGCTATTTCGGAGATCACCACATCTCCTCCTCAGACTTCTTCGTCGAGTTCACCAGGCAATTTGGGCGCTCAGTGGTCTTACCAACTGAGCTAAGCTCGCCAAATAAACTGCTGTTGCTTTTTCCAGTTTTTCATGCGGTCAACCCAATTACAATCAAGGGCAACGCTTTTTTTAATATTTAGATTTGATCAGATGGTTGTTGTTGGTTTGTGTTAAAATTTAATTTTTTAGAATATTTTAACTTTAGGGTGTGCTCGTCGAGTAGTAAAAAAATGTGCCTTCCATCGGTTAACACAGTTGCTTTCAGCAAATTCATATTTTATATCGCTTTAGATAATTGGTATAATTTTGTCTGAACCAGTAAGCAACGAGCTCTTTGAAAAGATATTTGATATAATGGCCAGGCCCGTCGAGAGGAAGGGGGGAAAGGGGTGAGTCCCCCCCGTCCCGGGCTTCTTAAGGGGCCCGAAATATTAGAACCATAACTTGTTTTTATTTTTTTCACAATGTAATTGCTTCTTCGTTATAGGCTGTTATTATAAATATATTCCGATTCATGCTGATTGCTTCTGACTCTATAAATTAAAGAAAATGATCATGTGGCCCAAAAAGCGTACTGTTATAATACGTTTTGGCTCACAGTGCTAGAATACAACTTTCGGAGTATTTTTCTTGTTGCATCTGAAAGCATAAGCATGTGGCAATAATTAATATATACCTAAAACATATTGTACCTCATGTTGTTTAGGTTTTAGTTATAAATGTTTTGACAGCGGACTGCTACATTAAAATTTTTGAAATTACTTTTTAAAGCTGCTTTATGTTATCGAAAAAGTCTGCTCTCCTTATATAACTCAAGAGCTAGGTATTTATCAAACTGATAAAATTAATTTTGAGGTCAATATTTGCAAAAAATAGTCGGACTGTTACGTTAAAGAAAAAGGCCGTTACGTTACCTGTGCGATATACATACCTGTAGATTTAAGTTTTTAAATGGCTTGTAGTCTGTTTTATGCAACAAGTAGCTTGAATTCAGTAGACTTGCGATTTGACATGTAATCCAAAGAAATTAAGAACATGATAATTATGAATACTGATTTTAAAGTTTATGTCGCTGTGCAGCCGTAGGTCGTTTCAGAACTGCTCCAAGATATTGGAGTTTTTCGCGTTTAAATACAAGAAAAGGGCTTTAATGTCCACTTTGTTACGAACTCCGGGTTATGCTGGGGTATGCTCATCGGCTGCCGGGTTCTCCACAAAAATAATAAAAGTTCTTTTTCGGTTTATAGCAAAGTACTAGTCTGTCTTGGTCGTTCGTTAAGAGGACGGGAGTAGAACTCGTTCCTCTTCGGTTGGTGGGCGTAGCTCCGTCCCACCAAATATAATTACAGCTATAGTAAAAGAACGGGAGTAGAACCTACCCACAACCTTCTAAGAGAGGGAGTAGAACCCGTCTCTAAATACTTGGCTAAGGTCTATAGGAGAGAGAGTAGAACCTGCCCGTCTCCTGATACCTAGCATACCCAGAGTAGATCCTACCCTATTTGTGCTAAAGCTCCTGACTCTCCAGCAGTTGCCTGACGATTCCTGTCCGCTTTGATTGCTGGCCGGCTATTTATACAAATTGCCGGACGCAGTCGCGTCGCGTAAGTCACGTTGTCATTTGTGCTTTGTTTTTTTTTTATTGCGATGGTGCTTAAAAATATATGTACAATTGTCGGTATATGGCTATGTGAATAATTACGGTAGTTCAAAAATAACTAGTGCTGTACAATATTTATGTTATGTTTAGTACTATTTAGGGATGTGCCGGATAGAGATTTTGCCGGATAACCGGATTCCGGATACCATGTAAAAAATGAGAGCCGGATTCGGATATCCGACCGGATATCCGGTAGACTGCTGCACTTAATAAATTTCGCAATAGTGTTATTAGGTTTTTTTTTTTTGTTTAGCGACCCACTTATGACCAGGTTATCTTCTTTTTCGAGCTGAACTATCCAATACGTAATTACAATACAATAAAAAATCTATCCTCTTATTGATCTTTTTTGCTAAATAGAGGAGAAACGTCAAAGACAAAAGATAAACTACATTGAATGCCCCTAAGCAAAACCACTTGGTTGTTGTATTTATACCCGAGCGCACTTTGCAAAAGGGTATATTAACTTTGTTCATATATTTAAGAAATCACGGAAGTATGTACAAAAGTGTTACAAAGAAAGAATATATATACAAGTAATTTTTAGCAAAAAAAAACGACTTAAAAAAAATATATATATCTAAGTTAATACGGGGGCTAACACACATACCTGTGTGAATGTGCTGACGCCGCACTTCCCCAAACACGCGCATAACCAGTGCGGGTAATTGAACTCTCATGCAAAAATAATCGAACATACGTTAGCATAATTGAATCTATGGGAAGCGCAGCGTCAGCAGTTAATTCAGCCGGTTAGACAGTAAGTCATAGTATTAAGAAATATGTTGTATTCATTCCATTTGGGACAGCGGAAGC